GACATTACTTTCTGAGATCATCAGAGTCCTCAATAAGATCAAGGTCAGAGCCAATAAATACCCAACTTTCTTTTATTTTAGCTTAGTATAGGTTGTTGTTTGTTTGTTTGTTGTTTGTCTTTTTGAAACAGTGTCTCCCTGTATCCCCAACTGTCCTGGAATTCTCTATGTAGAACAGGCTAGCTTTAATCTCTGTGAGATTGACCTCCTCTACCCCCAAAGTGTTGGGATTAAAGGTGGGTGTCACCAAGCCTAGGTAATATTTAAGTTTCAGTTCGATTTTGTCTGGCTTTCTTGAGTCTGTAGCTTCTTCTGCTGTTTTTACACTAGGTGGCAGTCTAAGTCCAAGCTTGCATTCATTCTTCTGTAACTAGGATCCATAGTCAGCTACTGCTTTATAAGTAATCCTCGATACATTGATTTACTCAACTTGGATTTGTTCAAGTCATTCTTGAACTGGTGACATCCCAGTGCAGAGACATATGAGTAGCTCATATCTCCCTTGGGAATCTATACAATTTATGCATAGACAGGACTCTGACAGAATGAAAGAGAGGATGAGGCATCTAGAGCAGAACTCCAGGGATTGTCATCTTCTCTGTATGGTATGGAGTGGTACACCTCCTACAGGCATGTAGATTGCCATGTCCAAATGCCTGCAAAACTAGAGATTGCACTGCTGCAATGTTTGGTCTTGAGGGTCAACTAATGGGCCTTAGAATCACTTAGGACACAGATTAACTGAGGAAGACCCAACCTCAAAGGGGGTGGTTCCTTCCAGTGGTCATCCAAGATATTAAAACATCTAAGGAAATGGTAGTGTGTACCTGCCTACCTTCACTTCTTTTTCCTGAGTGAGTTTTCCTATTGCTGTTGCTACTGTCCTCTGTTGACCCCAGACACCAGCTTCTTCAGATTTCTAATATAGACTCAACACCAGCAAGTTCCCAGGGAGCACCAGGTTTTCAGTACAAGATTGAGGCTGCTGAGGCATCTGGCTTGAGCTGAGCAGCTACCAAGTTCTTTGCCTCTTCAGCATGCAGACGACCATTGTTAGACTACCCTTACTCATTGTGTAAGCCAATCTCACAAATACCAAAACATTACAATACATGACAAATACCAATACATTCTCTTGGTTCAACTTCTCCTCTGCATAACCCTGTCTCATACAGATTTTGGTGCCAGGAGTAGTTCTGAAGTAATGATGAATTTTTCTAGTAAGCTTGGTGATTGCTAGAGCTGATTGCTAAACACTCTCCAGATGGTTTTGCGGTTTGAATGAGAAATGTCCCCCATATGCTCCTGTGTTTGAACCCTTGGTCTCTAGCTGCTGGCATTACTTTGGAAGTTTGTGAAATCTTTGGAAAGTGGAGACTTAGTGGAAAAAGTTGGTCACTAGGGGCAAGCCTTGAGGTCTTATAGCCTAGTCCCATTACCTGTTTTCTCTCTCTGCTTCCAAATTGTAGATGCAATGTGGACAAGCCTGTTTCTACCACCCACAGTGGAATGTATCCCCTCATGTTAAGCTATAATAAATCCTTCCTTCTTAAATTGAAAAATAACTAATGCATATAGAGAGCTTTGATAATCCATGGGAGGAGCTGTTTAAAGAATTATGCAAGATAAATGCATTAGCTGCTTATGATTTACCACTTGAGAGGTAGGAAAGGAATCTGGGGACTCTATATATAATACTTTTGAGCATTTCTGGATAACTAAGGGATATAATGATGCTCCTGATTGCTTCCATCATCTCCAAATGAAGTGATAGAGGAAAAGATGGAAATTAGAGATGCAATTTCCCAGCTCCAGATGCACATCAACATGCTAAAGACTTCTTAGTGCTCCTCAGAGACAATCTTCTCTTCTGTTGCCATAGTGCTGAAATTGCTGAAAACCAAGCACAAACCCTCATCATGTGACTTCCTAGCTTACAATACAAATTTAAGTCTTCATCTTGAATGGTGTTTGCAGTTAGACTGAGGACACTAATTGGAAAAGAGTCATATCCTGTAACTCAGGGGTGGAGATATGTGGGAAGATCCTGATGAGATGAGGACACTAAACTTTCTGATTTCAGTGAATTTATTCTGCCTAAGGAAGCACCCTTTCCACGCTTAGTGTCAGATGCATTCCCAGCCTGACCCCCAGCTCCATTGTTCCCTCTATCCTTGTGCGAAGGAATTAAAACATCATTGTCTGGAAATAACAGCAAGTTTTCCCGAAGGGAATGCAAAGCAAAATAATGCTGATTGCCTATGGGCCCCACCCTCACAAACCATCTTTTGCCTCTTGACCAATCCAGTGTCTCCAAATGCATCCTGTGATTAGTTCCCAAGTTCTGGATGTATAATTGGAACAGCTACACTTAGGAGTTAGTGGAATTTCCACATTGATTCCCTGATCTGTGGAGTAAGGATTCTCATCAAGGTTGGAAAGGCCAGTAGAAGCCATTAGACCTGCCTCTACCCACAAAAGCAAAGTGAATCAAAATCAGTAATCACATCCTTAAAGAGGCTACGAGATTAATACCATCATCTAGGACTTGGAAAATACGGGGTAGTGGTTTCAACCACATCTCCAGGAATGGACTTCCTCACTAGAAGCTAATGACTAAAGGTCCCATAGACCTTCAAACAATACTGGCCATTGGCCCTGCTCTTGGTTACCCACCAGAATTGGATAGTAAGACCCTGTTGCTGAAAGCACTACATATGTTATCTACAGAATGAAAAAGGAGAAACCAAGCTGGTGTTGACCTCAGAGACTCATTTCTATTGGCTGGCATTCATAGTGTTGGAAGGTGCTATGCATGCTCACAATCATCAGCCTCATCCAGGTGTGAAGTCTATGAACTACAAACACTGATATCAGGTTTAGGAACATGAGGATAGACAGCCCAGAGTTCATAGGGAAGAACCTAATACAAGTTTTCAATGAAATAATTATCATATTAAACTGAGTCTTAATGACATATCGGTATACCTATAGATCAATACATCTTTCAACTCTCACCAGAGACGTTTCCTTATGCAACAGATGGTGATTAATGTAACTGCCCTGCTTGACCAATGCTGAAAAACTGAGATTAGACCAGGAGTCCCTTGGCTTTGCTGCTTGGGAGCCCTTTCACTGACCTCCTGAGAGACTTTACTAAAAACTCAGCATTTGAAGTTCATACAGAGTTTACATATGGTAAGTGTTCAAGAACTGCAAAACACATGGGAATTTTCCCATCGTAAAGGTGAGAAAACAGCACAGTGTGCCCAAGCCGTGGCAGCTGGCCCGGTAACAGACCTCCCTTGAAGTATGCAGAAACAAAAGGGAGAGCAGACATCCTGTCCTGGCATTCCAGAAACAGCCATCTAATTGGACTGTTCTGAGCATCCTGGCAGCAGATTCTCCCCTCCTCAAGGCTCTGCATCAACAAACCCTGAGGAAGTCGCTTAAGTCTTAGAGAGCCAAGTGCCATGACTGTTAACTATTAGTGAACAGAGCATTATTGTCCTTAAGAACAGGGTGGAAGCTCACTACAGTTAAACATTTAAAACCCACAAGTAGCCAATGTGCAGAGAACAAGAGGCTGCAGAGTGCTTATTCATGAATAGGACAACTGTATCAAACTTCTTCCTCCCAAAACTCAGAGGTCATTGCAGAAGAGGGGGTGAAAAGACTGTAAGAATCAGAGGTGATAGATGACCACAAGGAAACAGAGTTTTTCAGACATCTGGTCAGTTGTTCAAATGATCTCATAGCAATGGTGACTTGAGCATGCACAAGTCCCGTGCAAGCTCAAACCAGAAAAAAAATTCCCAGCATAGATATGTGGAACTGGGTAAGACTCTCCAACCCCTCTAAGGAAATTGTGGCAACAGACGGCTGCTGGGAAGGGCAGATACAGTCTCTTTCAATCATGGGATTGTTGGGAGGGCTAACAAGGCTTTACTGGATTGACCCACACTGCAGTACATTTGGGGACACAAATTAGACTCTATAGGCCTTATTATATATAATAGAGTACATTAAATTAGGTGGGGGCAATAAAGAGTGTGTAGATAAGGGAGGGAATCTCAATACTATCAAATTATATTGTATAAAAATTAAATTTTTCAGTTAATAAAAAATAAAAATTCTTGTATGACTTTTTATAATTTCCAATGATTTTTTTTCTCATTTCATCTAATTGTGTAAACTGTAAACTTCACAGTATTGTTCATTCAAGTCTTTTTAGCTTCTGTAGGGTAGTAATGATGTCTCCTCATCCAGACAGGTCTGGAAATTTGTGTGCCAAGAGTAAGGAATGAGCTAGAGTGGAGATGATGTAGATGCAAGTACCAATTGTGGTTTCCAGGTGTCAGTCTTTCCTTCCCTGGGGCGGGAGATGTCACCATGTGAAGGCAGCATCACATGATTGACACAGGCCAGGGTGCTGGGAAGTCATCTCAAAAAAGGACCATCCTCTTTTCTAAATTCTATTAGGTAGAATGATTAGGTATTATTTATTCTGGACTCAGATAGAGCTGAATGCCTTATATGATATGATCCTAATTTCATTATCATCATCACATTACATATTTTACTATAAATTTATTGAAGCAAAGGAATATATTTTATTTACTCTGGTAACCCTAGAGTCAAGTATGTTATCTGCTACTCCCCAAATAAAGATTGATAAACAGTGAATACTTCATTCAGATTCAATTTGCTATAGTAAATTAAATATATATGTGTATGCATATATATTTGTCTTGATGCCATTTTCTCTAACTTTATTGAATTTGCAATAAAGAAATAGGAGAAATCATGCACACATGCATGTAACTATCAGTGTGCATCAGCATGCATATGAGTTTAGGGGTGCTAAAGTATAATGTATACAATTCAACAATTGCTCTTTTTCGTTTTGAAATCAGAAAAATATGATGCATTTGTTGTCTCTTAGTAACAGAGAAGACTCTTGGTTGGTTTTATGCTTAAAGGCAAATAATAAAATAAGCTTACAAATAAAACACACAATCACACTAAGCCTTTATTTTGAGACCAACAGCATGTACACTCCTTGAGACTCCACTACAGGGAACATGTTTCCATGCACTAATGAATAAAATGGATATGACAAAAGAATTCTGTCATCACAGGGATTCTGAACGCAGACACCAAATAGTTAAACTGCTGCCAACTGCAGCAGATAAGAAAATGTTGGCCCTTTGCTCTACCAAGATCCCTTGAAACTTTCTGCATAGTTTTCTGAGAAATAGCTGGGACTCTTGGGCACTCCAGGAAATGGGAATTTACAGACTGGAGTTTTGGCTGAAGCCAAGGTCATGCAAATCAAAAGAATGTCACTGAATATGCCTGTTCAGCACATGTCTGGTACTCACTGTATAAGCAGCCTACATTTTAGGGAATTTAATCATTTCTCTCTTGCAATGATTGGATATTCTACATTATCATAAAAATAGACGTTCTGATGAATATTTTCTACTTTTTTTATTCTTAAGGAATCAACAGTTCTTCATATGCAGAGGATGCAGGTGTCTTTGAAAACACGTCGGGTTTATCCCTTGAGCCCTGAGGCAGGAAAATCACATTCTAGAAGAAAGAAAATATATGTTATTCCAGACTTCATCCAAGTTCAACTGAAATATATACATATATATGTATGTATGTTCCTAGGTAGGTAGTAGTACATAGATTTATAGATATATATGAACCTATATGATAGAAATTCATTCAACTTTTTACATAGAAATTATAGTTATTCCAAGATGAAAATAACATATCAAGTTGTGCAAATATTTAATATCTATCACCAAGTATTTGTTAAAGCAAAGATTTAGTTCAGTACTGAATTTATGCACTTATAGACTTGGCTTGGTGGTTTACCATGTCATTGACAAACAATATTTCCTTAGTGTCTTTTGACTCAAGAATGTATTTTAAGATGACAGGAGGGAAAAGCTATTGACTGAACACATTCACATGTGTAAATAGCCTTTATTTACCAGGTCAAGACTGTTAAAGAGACTGGCTGCTAGGATTAAGTGCACCTGCCTAGAAGTGACACAACAAGGCTCCAGTGTCCTGAGCCCAGGAAAACTCACAGTATAATGTTGGGAGGGACATTTAACTTCCAGAGCCTAGGTTCCTTTGTTTGCAAAATGGGAGGAAAGCACCAAGTGATTGCTCCAGTTTCTTGTACAGCCAGTCTCCACCAGCCACTCAACTGTCTTCTCCCTCCAGCATCTCCTGTTGTCCCTCACTGTCAAAACCACCTGCTGTTCATCTCATAGTGACTGAGTATTCCCTCTCTTATTCTTGGTGACAGATATAAATCATCCCAGTGAAACATAAGGCAAGATTCAGGATAACTTTCAACACACTCACCCCAGGGAAGTCAGAGTGGGCCTGCTTCCACCACAACACAGCAGTGAGCACAGCCAGGCCGAGCTCCAGCACACTGCCGATCAGCATCACAGACATGGCTCCCTGAATTCAGGAGAGAAGAGATTGGTGGTGACTGAGTCAGCTGAAGCCCTCATGCCTGGGTGGGAGGTTCTTACAGAGATGTAATCATCTCCACCATCAGACAGAGCAGCAGGGACAGCTTCAAGAAAGGAAACTGATCCTCCTAAACAGAATCTGGCTTAAATCAATATCCCTGCCTCTGAATTCCTGGAGAGGAAGATGAAGAGAAACTAAATCAACAAACCATTTTATACCATTGCCTCTCAGCCCTCTGAGGCAGGGGACTCAGGTGGCAGCATTTACTCAGTGAGGGAGCAGAGTGGAGTCCACAGCTCCACTCTACCCTGGCCAGTGCTTTAGGGTTCTGTGATCAGGCTTAGTTACTCCAGATGCTAATTCATTCCGATTGCTATGCACCTGATTTACACATACTTTTCTTCATCATGGTTTTAGTAACTAAGGAAGAAGTACCTGGGCCCTGCTCCATAAGGAGTTGAGAAAGCATCAAGTTGACCAGACCCTTCTGCCCTATCCTGCCATCCTCCAGCTGCGTCTTTTCTTCTCTCACTTCTATTGTCATAGGTTGTCATAGGGCAATGAATATTCCATAGACTCTGCAATTTCATATTGCCTGTTTTTCTCTGAATGTGCTGGAACCCTATGCATGTCCTTGGATGTTCTAACTCAAGATAGTATTCCTGTTAGTAAAATTGCATTGCATTACTTTCTTCCAATAAGATAGAGTCTTTTATATCCCTGTCAGTTACTAGTCTACATCCGTATATTTCTTTTCTCTTCATTTAATAAATCTCATCTCTTTACATTGTAATAAAGCATCAGTGAGCTTGCCTTCACACAGGACCAGTGCTACTCATTACTGATCACTGGAATGAGTAGAAATCCAGACTTTTCATTCCCATATTTCTCAGTGCTAGGCTAAAGATTGTTCAGCCCACATCACACCCACAACCACATACATGTACCAGGTTTTCTTGTTGGCATTTACTGATCATCTAGTTCGTTTTGATGTTCTCTTTCCATAATTCACCATTCCATGACCAAAGTTCTTGACTTGACAACTTCACAATTTCCACCTCTAAAGCTGAATTCTTTCTGTCTTAACTCTGTCATTATAGTTTCATCATCAACCTTATTTTATACTTATTCCTCAACTCCTCCTTAGTATTATGCCACCCCTTAGTCTAGCCTTGTAATTTTATGTTCTTCAGCACCTTTGATTTATATAGCCCTGGTCTTCCCCTATTTGCCCAACCAGAAAGAACTAAAGACTTTGGAAAGAAAGACAGGATAAGAAAAATTCACAGCTTTCAGAAAAACTAAAAAAGGGCATGTGGGTGGAAACATACCATTTAGAAATACTTACAGTCAGAACACCTTTGGCAGGGAGGCAGCCTGTGTCACGTGGCTCCCTGTAGTAGCTGTAAATGTTTTCGGTTGGTGTAAATACCTTGCTCAGCTCACACTGATGTAAGGCAGCTTCCAACTTATTCAGAATGATAGAGAGGATGATGATGCCCAGGAGAGCAAAAGGAATGCTCAGGATGCTTAGAGCCAGGCTGCTGCGAACCTGAAATGAGCAACAGGTGTCCTTGTACCTCTTTCCAGGTTGTTGCAATAATTCTCTTTGTCTCTTTTAGCAGCTCAAAGATTAATCATTTATTTCTGCATTCCTCTCAACTCATTACTGTCGTCACCGGAAGGAGGAGAAGGCTGGCTTTCCATATCCATATTTCCCAGACTCCATTTTGCAGTGCTAGGCTGATGTTTGCTCAGACCACCTCGCCTCCCAACCACCACATATCATGATTCAGATGCAAAAGTGTCTAACCACATATGAAGCCATAAGGTAAACTGTGATTGGATGAATGAATCTGTCATAAACAAGATTTCAGTGGTGAGATACAAAATATTCCCGTTAAAATCTTCAGTCACAACTGTAAGTGGGGCTCCAAAATGTAAGCCTGAAAAATAATCAAGTCAGTGTCACCAAAGGTGGATGTGTAGACACCAGATATTTCCTTCACCCTTAAGACTCTCAGTGAGGTAGTTGGGTATAAAATGTCCCCCAAAGGCTCGTGCATTAAAGACTTATAGTGTGAGGTGGCAGAGCATTCAGGAACCAGAGCCTGATGAAAAGTTGGCCAGTCATTGAAGGGGGTATATCAGGATTCAGGATCTGCCATTCACATTCTCTTTGTTTCCTTTCCTATCATGTGGTAAAAGCCTTTGTTCTCCAGCATAACAGCATACTGTACTCACTGGCTGTCTATAGGCTCAAAAGAAATGGATCCATCCAAACTATGCACTGAAACCTCCAAAATGTGACCCAAACAAACCTTGCCTCTTTTAAGTTGAGTTGCTCATATGTTCATTTCATTACAAACATGTAAAATTGACTGATATACTCAAACCACTACCCCCCTCAATCTGATGGATGCAGGCATGTGAAGCAGTTCAGTCCTCCTTGTACACTGTCCCTCTCTCACAAGTACACACACCCAGAGATGACTGTGGGGACACTGTTCTCAGTGTCGGGAAGATTTTGGAGTCTAGACAGGTACATGATTGGCTATATCCAGGGCCATGTGGTAATGACTGTAGGCAAAGATCTAAACAAGGACAAAGCTTGGCATAATATGTGGAAATTATGAGACAGGAGGAAATGGGTCAAGGCTGGATGTCAGAAAACTAGGGCCACAGTGCCAGATTGCTCTGTATTTTCATTGTTCTAGAGTATTCAGTTCCTCCGATTCACTCTTTACCGTTACCCTAGAGCTCATCTCCTCGTGTGCTAGGTGAGGGGAATGAAAACTGATATCTCAAGTGGTTTCCTTTCTTCCCCAACTTACAGAAGATGAGAACTGAGCTAAGACCTTTATGAAAGTTATGGTTACAGGTAAGTATGCACCAGCACTCATCTGATCGTAATGACTTGGAGGTGGATTTAACATCAGGCCACTTCTCTATCAGAAAGATTACACAGACCACTCCGGATTTGATGCTTTGGAACATTAATCCCTCTCTTTACCTCCTGTCCAACAGTAACTAAAGTCATACCCCTGGACTTCTTGATCAATAGTCATGATCAGGATGCTGATAGAATATACATTTCTAGAACAAATTCAGTTTATTTTGGCTGGTAATCTTCAATCTCAAAAAGATTCATATGCTGTGTGAAAAGAACAGTCCTCAATGAAGGCTCGGTACCTTTTATAATAAGCCTTATTGTACCTGGATACCACCTATATCCTAAGTTTTCAGCATGTTCTCTGCAAGACTGTCATTCTCCATGTTAATTGTACCATATCGTTCCCTCTGAAAGTCTGGAAAACTACTCTTGTGCTATGGTGTTCTATATAGCTGTTGTTAGCTATGTGGGCTACTTGTATTCAAAATAAAAATAAAATAATCATCAATGTT